AGCATACTGCACATATTTAGTGTTTCATTGAGTTCTAGAATTATTGGGAACTAGCTGGCTTACCCGGCTCCGCCGTATGTTCGAATAGAAAATTCCATTTCTTAACCGATCCGGACCAAACTTGGCACACATACACTTCGGGCCCCGGCAAGTGTCACAATCCACTTTTTGTTATCGATCGATGTCGATGTTATCGATTTTTTGCAAAATTTGAGCTAGGGGGTTGGAATTTGGCAGAGGGGTGTAATCGAGCATGCTGATCACCCCCACGGGGGTGATCAGCATGCTCGATTACCCCCCTGTGTCAACTCCCAGCCCCGTGGCTCAAATTTTGCAAAAAATCGTTAAAATCGATATCAATCGATGACGAAAAGTAGCCTATGACACCCGCCGGGGCTCGAAGTGTATGTGTGCCAAGTTTGGTCCCGATCGGTTCAGAAATGGAATTTTCTATTTGGAACATACGTACACACATACAGACATACAGACATACAGACAGACAAGCAGACATTCAGCTTTATATATAAGATTTCAAAAGAAATGTACTAGACAATTGGACGGACTGCTCGATATCATCGTCTTAAAATCGACTCCAAACGAAGTTGCTGAAGATCAAAAATACATGAAAATGAAGTTAACAGCAATTTCGTTAATATTCCGGTCAGTCTTCTAGTAAAAGTCGTCAAACGTATCAAGTAGTCTCTACTAGACCTACTTTGATTTCCACGGGGCGATCGCTGAGCCCGGGCTTGGAGCGGGGAGAACCGCCGAGCGACCTGAAAACCAGACAGAGGGGGTCTGGACCGATCGGCTTTTAACTAGGCATCCGGCCAAAACCAGAAACGTTAAACTCCTTCACAGCTTGGGAGGCCCTGCCAGAGTATACAGTCTGCCCCAATCCTAACCAGGTCAAAATTGGCATGGCGAAAGCCCGCATCGCTAGGTTCTTGCGGCCACGTCCACGGCCTGCTTCTCTGCTCTCTCTTCAATCCTTTGGCTTTCTTTGACAGCGCGCATATGCAGCGCAGACCGCTAGAGCTGCAAGCGCGCAAATTTATGCCGACGTTTCGGCCTGATCCCGATTGGAGCAGACTATACACTCGGTGTGCATCGCAGTTTGACACCCAGTGTCATTCCACGCTAAGTTGAGGCGGCCGACCATTGTGGGAGTGACACAACCTCGGCCACCACCTGAGGTTTGAAAAAAAGGTGAATATGAACTACCGAAATATTCTTTTCTTTTATCCTAAATCGCAGTTTGACACCCAGTGTCACCCCACGCTACGTTGAGGCGGCCGACCATTGTGGGAGTGACACTCTTTTTTCTATTTTCGATACCATGCTTGTTCAAAAAAAACCTTTTAATACTGAATATGTACGAGCTGAGTACGAATCTCGACTTTAGCTTATTACACAACGGGTACTTTTAAAACGGACAGTTTCATTCCGTGCTATTTCACTCATTCAGTGCACCAGAAAGAAGTCATTTATTAGACAATAAAGTATCACATCTATTTTTGGAGAGCACAGGTAACTGTACCACATATCCTCTCAAGAGTGTAAATACATCCGAAAGCGTGCTTTTTTGGTGGCAAGAAAAACAGTCTCGATTGCAACTGAAAAAAATGCAGTTTTTTACTATTGAAAGATGCCTATAGAAAATGAAGTATACTGTTTTTTGATTCGTACAACTGATAATTGCTTCATGGAAAAATTGACGTATGCAATGATGTGTATTGAACTGCTGACAATACGCATACAATTAAATCCCTATTCAGGCTTACAAGATGATTAACAGTCTCACCTCGTTGTCAAATGTCTCTTCAACATCACCAAAGAATGTTGATGTAAACAAGTCAGCACTCGAAGAGAACTCTCTAAATCAATCTAGTAATTATATAATAATCGCGAAGGGGAGGTTACACGTTGTCAAAAAGCCTTAGACACATTATGACATCTAAGCATCAATCTCGTAAGTAATCCCTACGCAAGCAAGGTCTGTCACAGCAAACAGTTTCTTAGCATTGTTAATTAATGAACAATCTTGACTGCAGATTTTGTGAAACGGCTGAACATACTTGCAGCTTTTGTAAGTGAAATGAATGAAACCAAGATCCTCGAATTGTTGAGCACTCATTCCCTTAATGTCTCTTGCCAACTCGCAGCTGAACCTCTAAAATCAAGCTACATGAGTTTCTAAATCGAGCAATCATTCATCTTGTAAGAAAAAGTCTCAACACGCACTATCAAAAGAACTACAGAGCGTGAAACTGCGCCCCTCTGATGCTAACATACCGCAATTTAGCAGCTCCAAAAACTCAATGACTCAATATCCTCCGTTCATTTAATGCTTTAAAGTAAACTGAGCCAAGTGTTGCAAATGTGGCCTAGTGGGATACTACTGATATGACTGCTTTTTAAGCACGGGAAGAATCCCACTATGTTGAGCATGTCTTTAAAAAGAAGATTTTTTTGTAGCGTTCAGAAAATCTATGCAGTATTAGGTATCCGCTTCTGTCTCCTTATTTCTGTTTATATGAAGATATTTTTGAAATCATCAGTGATAAATAAAGGCTCTGCAGCTTAGTTTTTGAGCCTGAACCACAATTTTCTTATCTAGCCGCAACAAAGAATGTTCAAAAGCAAAATAGTCTCTTTCTTCTCAACCGAAAGATAAGATAAAATTTGCTTTTCCTTGTTTACACACATTCGTCCGCTCGCTTTTTTCTACCATTCAAGAACAAATTCTTTTTTCAATATCCGCTCACTCAAAGATGGAACTTATAAACAAACCACTTTACGCTTGAGACCCATTTCTTTCAGGATGTTGCCAAAGTGCAGTTCCAGCATAGTGTTGAAACTATTTAGTTCACACCCATTCGGATTTTGTGTTATGGATAGTGTGCTGTTCTTCAACCCAATGCAATGACAATAACGATCTTTGTATTCTTTACAGTAAACCAGGGGAAAAACCTGAAACGCTATATTTGCTCGATAAACCAGGGAGGATTGTAGGACTTACCAAGGCAGCTAGGTAGAGCAGCATAATCGCAAAGTTTATGAAATTTGTAAATTTTTAATTGCTTGTGTAGCTTTTATGTAGTTGAAATTATAATGAAATGGTTTGACAAGCAATTTCTCTATTTGTACTGCTGACGAGTGCACTTGGCTGACCGCGATTGAATAAATATTTCAGAATAGTGTGCTTTTATGAATTTTTACATTGTTTACATCCTGCTTTCTTACAGCCAAGTAGTCCATTCACTTGTTCTTTGTTGAAAAAACGGCAGTTTTGATCTCCTATTCTATGTCGAAAAAGAACTATCTAGAACAGGCTACCACTCACTACAAAGCATAACTTCATAAGCGTGCTGTAAGGATTCAATCTGATGCAACAAACGAAATCAATTAAATTTTTCAATGAATGAATGGTTTTGAATTAATTTTGCAAAATTTCTCCAATAACTGCTTCGTCCTTTCCATAAGTAACTTCGTTTTATCCGGCATAATGCATTTGATCACAAAGCTGCCTCTTTGCCACATCTAATTCTGCAAAACAGATGTTTTTTACAACTCCACGTTTGAAATCGCTACAGAGTAAGCTGCGCTAATTTTAAACAGTAATTACCATTTCAGATGGTATCTGCCAGTATTAAAAGAGGAAAGTGCATTCCTGACACGAATTCAGATATGGTTATAAACAAGTGCCATCTGTGTAATATTTATATTCTAGCTGTAAGAGACGAAGTTTGCACATCAGTATCATCAAATTTGATCGTCCAAACGATTCAAACAGAAGAACTTAAACACGTTTCACGAAGCAGCGTCTTTACCTCTATATGCGATTAGGAAAGCGTGATCTTGACTTGAAGAACATAGGCGCTTCCCACTATCGACATAATGGAGACTCAAAAAGTATTATCACAGTACCTTGTATGAGAAATGTAAACCGCGTTAAGAATGATTAGAAGATAGAAGAAGATTTAGACGGTCGAAATTTACGAGTATCTCACCTGAAAGTTAAACCTTCTATCAAAGACTGAGCAACGTAGTGTTTCACATATCATATTGTCTGTTTTCTTGCATCAACCAGTCACCAACAAGGCTTCCGTGAAAGACGATTGGTTACCGGGATGACTCTTGCTCAGGACCTGCCCATACCTGATCATGATCTTATTTGTTCCGCAGATACATTTTTGCACTTTGTATACTATGCGTCCTTAGTATGCGTGGATGTTATAAATATCATCTCTTTAGAATTGCCTTCAAAGAAAACGGCTTAGCCGTTTTCTTACATATCTTCATCTCGTGAATAACCTCCATGATGACATGTAAGAAAACAACGAGACATTATTCTCATTAGCGGGCATTTTTGGCTTCGTCGGTTATCTATAGGCTATACCAATCAGCATCGGTCCCGCGCTGTCCCGCCTTGCGAAGACGCATGGTCGCATGCTACATGCCTTAACTCACTCGTAACAGAGTTCGGACGCTTCAAACCGCAAGTGGGCGCAGGCGCTACGTCGCATAACCGATACTGGTTGGTACAGCCTATATATGTCATATTCATGCTGAGTATTTGCAGTATCATTCAAGAAGCATTATCTTTGCTCATAACTTTGCTTTACCACGTCTCTAAGACGTAATAACCACAAAGCTACTAGAAAATCCTACAGTAATAAGCAATGAATCATAGGTGAATCATTTATTGGAGGGTCGATTTGCTTATCTTGGTTTCTTGTCTTCCATAATGAAACATGTGAGAAATTAGAATATTATTGCCAATAGCATACAAAATTTCACGATAATTTTGTATCTGCTTTTGACACTATCCGGTTTCGGGGCTAAGAATTACACCGGTAGTGCAGCTTCCTTGGTGCCCCGCATCAGTAGTTCCCAAGAAAACTGTAAAAATTCAGAAAAGCTGCAGAATACAAGAGGAATTAAAGGCAATAAAGTCTAAAGAGAAGTTAGGCGAAATTGACACGCTGGAAGTAAAATCATATTTTAGCCAGGTTTTTCTTTTGAAAAGCACAAGTAGTTTCTCCATAATTTTTGACAATGAAGTAGTTGCATCCGAACGCGTATGTTTTGGGCTTCTTACTTTGGAATATTTTGTACCATTTAGGTCGGAGCTGAAATATTTGACAATTATAGCGCATTGAACATGTTGAGCAAAACAGATGATGTTCATCAATACTTTCTAAAAAAATTTTGAGATCTGAATAATTTGATCGTATCAAAAATTGCTTACAAACACCGCTTGTAACCCTGCACAACGAAATTACGAAAAATCATTTCCTATGGTTACTTTCATTTCACAGAAACTGCCAGATCTTAATGCTTACCTTCGCATCCAGTGTTTCCGCAGTCTCACCTGTGAACGTTATTGTAATCAAGTCCTGAACCGAGGAGACGTTCCTGGAACAGAACTATTAATTCTAATTAAAGTCAATTTATGGTTGTGGCGTCAAACATACCCGTATCGTGTATAGGTGGTGAAGTAAAGACGTCTTTTAAGGCTTGGTTTGATGTTTTCATCCGCAATCGCATTTGCCAACTCACAGCTGAATACCTATGAAAACATTACTAGGATATTTGGGTCGAAGAATTTTTTAAGAAATGTCTGGCATTAGCAAAGCAAAAAGTAAAAGTTTAGGTATGTGTATTAAGCGATGTCTTTGCTAGATTGTGTTATTATACTTGAACTCAGTAAAACCTCCGCAATCATGATGATTGCTTTTGCTTTTAATAAACTGTTTCAAATGTTCTATCCGTCTTCAAAAATGAACTACTTACCATGCTCTTTGCAAAATCATCTGTGAACAAACAAACATTACAAAACCGCCGAATCTAGGTGGTATTAGCAAAAAGAGAGATACCAACGCTGCTTTCTTGTCTTTTTGAGATGCGGTAACAGAATGGAATAAGGCTCTGTGATACGAGAGCATACAAAAATACTCGAGAAAGAATACATTTGAATGATATAAGAAGTTGAACGATGAAACCACTGAAAGTAACAATTCAAATGAAGCCATAAAAAGAGCAGGTAGATTTTTTAGAACGAGAATCAGAACAAGTTTACTATGTAGGAAAACAACAAACGCGGCCATCATTTAGCAGTGCATAAAGCAACATAGAGCGATTTTGTCTGCAAGTATATCAGTGAAATAGCATCAGGAGTAGAGAGAGCGGTACCGAATGATACAGAGTTGCTCACCACCTATAGCTACAAGATTTGAATAGATCCAGAGCGAAAATTGTTGAACCACTAAAAAAAATCTTTGGAAGTGCTGGGGTACCTCAGGAAATATGAGGAACGTACTAATAGATGAGCTTTTATTTACCTACATCTCAGAGGATTTTCACTGAAGTCAGCGAAATAAAATGTGCTGCAAAGAAGTTTAGATCAAGAAATTTGTTAGACTGTTTCGGTCAGAACATCTCTGATGAAAGTGATTCTTGCAAAAAAAGTAATGAAGTTCAGTGAAAAAGGCACACAACTAACCAAGCTATCTGGTAAATCCATCAAGTTTGCTATATCATCGTTGAATATTTTTTGTAGTCTGAGGTTGAAGTTGTTCAGTTCAGTGCCGTTCGGCCTCTCCGCGATGGCATTTTCATCCTTCAAGCCCGGGTCATTTTCACTACAGTAACCTGCCTTGTAAAATCCGTGAATCGTCGTGGGTAGTACCTGGAACAATCTTTCTAACTGGATCAATAAAGACAGTTTACCAACCACGATGGCTAAATTAAAAAGCAGCATGCTGCAGTTTATGGTTTTTCCTCGTGGAATTTCAGCGGATTAGGTAACTTATACAGTCTTATTGAGTTTTACTGCATCTGTTTGTTTAGCTTGTTCATATATTATGAGTACATCCATTTATGTACTAAAGTACGCATTTCTTATTTTCACTCAGTTTTACTGATCACTTTTAAAAATCAAACAAATAACGTCCTACTCTCTTGATAGAAGAGGCAATGCACCCTCGTTTTCTCCCGAATCTCAAATTATTACATGCATAGAATTTTAATGGACTCATTTCGAAAGAGCTGCTTCAACCAGATGGCAGATGAAGATGCTGCAGACTGGTACAAAGATGCGGAACTCCAATGCTCATAAAATAAACAACATTGAAAACGCAACTTTAGAAAAAAGGCTTTTAAAATTGCTTTGACTTTATTTATTTATTTAGTATGCAGGTGCTCCAACATAACAACCAAGACAACAAACAGAAAATACCCGACCGATAAATAAGAAAAAAGGGATTATCTATCACAATGTCAAGTGCAACAGTTACAAAAAGCAACAAGAAAATACCGCAAATGAAGATCGCACTTGAGCAACAGAAATAGACTTCAACGTCGAAAGACGTAGACAGATGCTTATCTGCCAAGCGACTATCTGGGAAGAGTTATGAGCGTTTAAACATGGGAAATTTTTCAAACTTCGACGGATATAAATCTTCGAAAGAAAGCCTCATGGCGCGGATTTACAGTGGCTATGGTTGTTTTAATTACAAGGAGGAAGCACATTTACAAAAAACCTAACCAAGTGGTTCTGAAGCTAACTCGTGGAACATGCGCCACCGAACTTGACAGATCGCACATTTGAACACGCATAATTCCTCCCCAATACTCGCTTGGCGATATAAATATATGTGATCAGCGTTTCAAGACGAGTTTAGTATGTTTGTATGGTTGGGTTGAGTTCTGACCATTTCCTGCTTACAAGGGAATGGTCAGAAGTCGAAGTGGCCAATCCATACAAGCTGCATAACATTCGATGCAGCATAGAATGCTGATTTCAAAACTGTCTTCCATATCTGCAGAGCGCCTTTGTGGACGAAGTTATGAGCAGCTTTACTGCGAAAAAATTGTATAAAAAAATTGCCAAATTAAGCACATTATTGCTCTTTCAGCTCACCTCTAGGCATGGGTCATATGAAGCAACCTAGTTGCATGTTTTGACCCAACATTGAGCCGAGAATGGCTTTGTACGGCAAAGTTTGCACTTTACACGCACAATTTCTTACAAGGAAACGATACTCGGTGTCCGTGACCTTTTGAGATGGTATGTATACCATTACAGTCGTGTTGGAACACTGATTCCGAACCTGACTTCTGTTTCTGCTAATCGCTTCAAAAATGTTATAATGGATCGCGCGGATTGTGGCTGCCCAGTGAAATATGGTCGGAGTAGCCAGCACTACCGGTGCATTGTGGTCTAGTGGTTAGTGCGATAGCCCCATGAGTTGATGCAGCTGCAGGTTCGAAACCCTTTGTGTTTTTCAGTTTTGCATTGCCTCAATTAACCTTCTTTTGCATCATCAAGCTGAGGAACGCCCTTGCTCTTCAAAAAATGTGGAAATTTGGAAAAAATGATTACTATTTGCGCTAAAATGTATCCAATGGTCATAACTCAAGTAAACTTTCTCGAACAAGCTTAAATGAGGTAATGCAAAAGTAAAAACACAAAAAGGTTTGAACCTACACCTGCATCAACTTATAAGGCTATTGCACTAACCACTAGACCAGAAAATGGCCGCGATACAGGCCGTTCCAATGGCCATATTTCCCTTGAACAGCCAAACTTGGCTCGAAATTCCCCCACAACTTCTTTCAGAGAAACGATTAGCAGAAAAGGAAGGCAGATTCGGAATCAGCGTTCGAAGACGAGTGTAATGGTATGAATCATGGTTCGAAAGGCCACGGACATTGAGTATCGTTCCCTTGTTAGCAAAATAATGGCCTTCAACGGCTTATAACTTCCTCCACAAAAGCGCTCTGCAGATAAGAAAGACAGATTTAGAATCAGCGTTTTATGCTGCATCTAATGGTACGCAGCTTGTACGTATTGGCCACTTCGACTTCTGACCATTCCCTTGTTAGCAATGTGGAATGCCGCAGCCCTAAGTGTTGTGTAATTCAAGAGCGTCTCAAACTAGAATGGTTCTTGTTAGGTATCCATCAACCTTACAATCTACCCTCAGATCCACCTATAGTTCAATCAAGCAGAGCAGAGATCGAGGTATCACTTCTAAGGGTAGAAACTAACATAAGAAGTAGCAGAAGTGTGGACAAGTATGGATAGTAAAGTAAACTTTGACTGGCAAAATCAAACACAACTGAACTTGAAGTCTCTCTTTAGCTTCTAACGATAAGACACTCATTAAGAATGCAAGCAACTAGGTGACACAGTCGCCACAGTCGTACATAAAAAATCTTATTACGTCGTCAGTGCTCAAAGCCTGAAAGATGCCTATATGTTTACCTTTTGCTTTCACACTTGCAAACTTGCTCAGCTAAGGTCACATCAACATACCGCCAGGAGTGGGTACAAAAATTTTCGCTATTACGCCGCTTCAAAACAACTGGCATCGTACATATTTTGTTATTTCGATGATTTGTTGATACATGATTTAGGGCACATCCATGTAATCATTATGTACGTTCAGAATGAGGCATCTCTACTATCTAACAAAACATGCACCAATATCGTTACGGAAAGTTCCTTTTGATAGCAGTAACAGTTACTGAGAAATTACATGCCTACTTTTGATCGCTCGTTTGGTTTTCAGCGATAAGAAATTATGACTATGCAACGCCAGATTGCTATTCATTTTGTCTCGCTTGCCATACACATCAGAAGCCAAACACATCATCAACCTTATAGAAATGCTTGGTCAGGGCCTGGCACCAGCTGGCACGGGGCAAGCTGGATGTCGTTTCTGGGACAAAAAGCAAAGGGGATATCGTTTTTGTCGACAAATTGCGACGTTTTTTTAGTCGACTTTTCGTTTTGGGGGATTTTTTATGTTTAGTGTTTAGGGTTAAAGGGACTTCGTTTTGAAAGTTCCCTGGTGCCAGGTCGTCCCGAGCTCTGTGCGTGGTTCTTCTAGTTAAGATAGATGGATCAAACAATTCAGCTTTCTTCACTCAATAGCCGTAGGACAGCCAGTTAACAGATCAGCGCTTTGATTCTTCGAAATTACTCTGTTAACATCTCATTCACAGACGAGTAGAAGGCATGGATTTTCGTGAGCGCAGAAGAAACATTTGATCTCGTTGAGAATAACGGCGAATCATTCCTGTGCGCTCGCAAATCACCTAACTTACAAGTGAACCATGCTTAGTCAAAGTGACCTTTTGAAGGGAACGTATACTATACTGAAGAGCATAAAACTGCGATTTCAAATCTAACTTTCCTATCTGCGGAACGTTTTTGGACGAGGAGTTATTAGCCTCTATTTGAACAAAAAACTTTAAATGTGCATTTATTATAAAATAAGCTGCAAAGACCTTACTAACCTTCAAATGCAGCGGCCAGGTGTAGTGTGTTTTTAACTGAGAGTATTTATTGAATAATGTGCTCTGATATTAGAAAAAGTACTACGGCAATTTTCGTCCTTTTTGCACATGTAACCAGGGCCCTGCACGCGTTGGTTTGGAGCATTCTTGGAAACGAAGTCCCCCATAACTTCGCAAAAATTTACGAAGTCCCTCTTGAAGTAACAGTCAGTAGGGAACCCTTGTTCAATCAAAATAACAATAAAAAAGCGAAAAAAGCGCATTTTGAGACACCTAAAATGACAAAAAAGCAAAAAGAAAACATTTCGAGTTGATTGAACGCTTTGTCATAGGGTAGGGTACCATTTTAGTGCTCAGAATGTCGAAAACCTGCTATAGGGCCTATAGGCCAACCAAATTTTGGCCTCAGCAATCTAGCGATGCATTTTTCGCCACATAGTTCAAAGGAGACCGCATGTGATTGGAGCGCAATATCTAACAAGGCAAAGTTTTGGCTGAGAAAAAGGGGAGAGGCAATGGTTTGATTCGCTCTCTTCACTGTATGATAGATTTTTGACCGTTCTAATTGTCCAAATCAAGAAGGGCCAAAACTTATGTGAACTCTCCGATATTTATGCTCCGAACCATCCCAGTTGGTTTGGTGTTGGTCTAGAAACCAACAAATTCTGAAGCGGGTATTAGCACACATAAGCTTTGGAAACTTTTTACATAACATAGTCTGGTGTAATATTGTTACATATTAGCCCAAATTCCGATTGAATTTGATTGTGATTGATCATGACTTATAATAAAGCGCTAAACGTCTGTCATTTTGTGCGTGTGTCTGTGTGTTTGTCTGTCTGTCACGAAATTCATGGAGGCAGCTGCAGCCAAGCTTCGAGGTACAAATTTGCATAGCATACGGTACCAGCGTGTAGGCCCACCATGCACAAGGACGAGCCGGTTCGATAAGCGGGTCCTTCAAAAATTGCGCCTCAAACGGGTCCACCTGGCTTTTGGCGCGCAAAATAGGTCACAAATTCAGCTTTTTGCAAAATCCCGATTTGCCTGACTAGCAAATCTGCGCTCCAAGAATTCTAGCTCAAAAAACAGCGCCAAAAAGTAGTGATCGCGTAGAGAGTCGATTTGACAAGGTTTTACATAAATTTCTGAAGAGATTTTTGCATGAAAATGTAGCCCAAAATGACTATTATCTTTATAACGATTATCAAGCCAAAATAAATTCAATAATCTATTCGAATTCGTATTTATTCCTTGGCAAAAAAGTTTTCCTTCTCAATAATACCGATCTTACATGGAGATGCTTCAAGAATGAACAATTGTTTACACATTTATGATATACAACCTCGCGCGGTGGGTTTCATTTTGGAAGCGTGAATAAGGCATACGGATAACAGAGCCAGTGCGAACCTCCGCGAAGCGGAGGTGACGCGCTGGTTGATCAATGAATTTGTTAAGAAAAGCGATATATTCACAGCGCTTTTAATCAGAAAGCCATATTTGCGAACACAAAAGACTTATGACTTCAGCAACTCTATTCAAACAATTACAATTTCTCTGTTTAGTTTGTGGGAAAATATTCTACCGTCCGAAGTTAGCTTATTAAGATCTAAATTGGAGTTAAACGCTTGATTGTTATTCTGATGCATTAATAGAAGGCTCTGTTTCAATGTAGCAAAAGCTATGTGCATTTTTCAATGCTTTGTTGAAAAGTATATGTAGAAGCACAAAAATGTCAAGGTTTCTACACCATTTTTAAATTCTAGTCCTTTATGTTATTTGCAAAACTTCAGAAGTAGTTTCTTGTGAATAAGGGAGTGTTCATAGATCTGAATCGTTTCGTAATTTTTCTCTGCAGCTCGAAAGATGGCTCATTTTAGTCCGATTAATGTAACCAATGATTCCAGTTGAGCGTGGCTCTCCTCACACTACAGTCAGCCAATGGACTTTCAATTCTCATTACGGTGCCGTACCGTATTAAGTAGACGACAAAAAAGACGAAGTTCACGTTTACGACTTCTTACTTTACTAGCTCTCCTCTCTAAATGTGGTTGAAAAGGGTTTTGAAAAATTCTCTCTCCAAAAAGTAGGAACGAAAAGAGAAATTAACTTTATTTATCTCTCACCCTTTGGGAAAATTCTACTTTCCTGTATCTTTTTCATCACTTACTTTCCAAGACGATAAATAGGGATATTTTGGTTTGGTCCTGGTTGAAAATTCCACGGTCCTATTTGGGGTGCTTGTCCCCACTGCTGTTGCTGTCCTCCTTGTTGCTGAGGTTGTTGTTGCTGCTGCTGTTGCCACTGTTGTTGCATTTGTTGTTGCATCTGTTGCAGTTGCTGCGCAATTTGTTGCCGTTGAGCGTTTTGCTGTTGTTGCTGTTGGAACTGTTGTTGAGGAGGGGGTTGTCTTTGCTGCTGCCTCCAGGGATTACGAAAGTCGCGCGCCATAATGCATCCGGCAAAAAGCGTAGCAACCAAAACCCATATCGGAGTGTTCTGCAAGGGCGAAGACATGTAGGAAAGGACACGAAATGTTACATTTTGAGTTATCAACCCACCATCTCAATAGAGCCTCTCGAAAGCGATTTCTTCCAATTTTTGCAGCCTATTTATGAAGACAGATACGGGAACACAAAAATCTCACGGCTTCAAACTTATTCAAATATCACGATTTGCATACCTATGTAAATATTCAATCCTTTCAACACATCAACTTTTCCTAATCTGCATAAAGTGGGTTATTTTTGATGTAGCAAAAATCAAGTTTTTGAATTGTAGAACGCTTCTGCATGTGTATAAGAAGAGCAGAATCGGACGCAAAAAATCTCATGGCTTCAAATTTGTGTCATACTGTGCATGTCAAGCCCCAAGAAAAACAGTTTTGTTACCTCCCTCCCCCCCCCCCCCAAAAAAAAAATTTGCATGTTAAGATCTACTTTGCAGCTTCATTAAAAGGTGGTTTTTCTGTCAAAGGTGGTTTATTTTCATTTCATTTCCTTTTTTATGAATGCTTACGCTACATTTCTTTGATAAAAGTAAACATGGGAAAACAGAAATTTTGCGGCTTTGAATCCTGTTATATTCTAATCTTTCATATTCATAACTTGCTTGCCAAGCTTTAGGGAGAAATGAATGAAATTTGAATCACAAATCCTCCACATCTACTTATCTACTGCATAAAAAGCTGGCTTATTTAATGCAGCAAAACTTTTAATTTTATGTTAATGTTGAGAGAAAAAAACAGCAGTTCGAAAGCACGACACTTTCACAACTTCATTATCTACTCGAATTTTAGTCCCTCTCCTTTCTGCAACCTTCAGGAGGGTGCAGAAAGGAAAGGGAGTCTAGTCCCTCTCCTTCTTGCAAAAAAAGTAGAAACTGTAAAAGCTCGCGAAACCTGTAATTGTCACGCATTAACCGGGTTCGTTAGTGCGAAGGCGGATGGCTAAGGGGAAATTAGAGATTACAGAAGAGTTACTAGGACGACTAGCAATAGAAAACAATTACAACAACCAAAATAAAGGCCAGGCGGCTTATTTACAGTTACCATGTACAAAATGGTCAAAACCAACACTCATAATCATTGCTCATCACCTATATCCACCACGGCATCCTTGACATAAGAAGCTAATACGACTCGACTTGACTATTATTCTAGACGAATCGGAATCAGGAGAATTTTTTTCGCTGTCGCTACAAATGTAATTGGAGTGGTATGCATGCGGATGAGTGAATTTGCAAGTTTGGTAAAAAGCTGTTTAGGATTTGTAATTCTGGAGGAACCCAGAAAGCGCTTTCAACTCAAATTGACCAAGCTACTCAGGTCAAATTTATCCTTCTCGGTTGTTATAAAGAAACTTCTCCTTGAAGGTTAATAGCCGTTCATGTAGACGGATTTTCACAAGCACTCCGTTTCTCAGCGATCTTTAGCTGCTCAATTTTGATCATATTCAGAACTAGGTATTGAAATGTGGTCAAATTCGTAGCAAAGAAGCAACTTTGATTTACTAAATTACCAGACCACGAAGCCCCGGTCTAATTTTTCCACTTTGCTTTCTACATAGCAAAATTCGCTTTTTGAGAAAGCTTATAGGAGAAGCTTTACTAGTGCATGGCGCTCCTCACGTTAACAGCCAGTAGCCGTAGGACTTGGATACCAGAGGGCGATTAGTGGACCAGAGAGAACATTGCCTTCTCGTGAGCGGTGCTATCTGAAATCCCTCCTTTCTTGAAAGCAATATTTCGAAGTATGACAGAGGAGACTGCCTAATGATGGGGTCACTATAATATAGCGTCAAAAAATATTGATTTTGAGTGAACAGTGCTTTTGCAATGTCCATCTAAAATCCAAGCTCCCAAAACCACTTTGTGATCCTCGAAAAGCCTCAAAAATGAAGCATTTGCTTCAGCTTTGAGATACAATTTTGCAGTTCTAAAGCGTTCTCTGCGTCAGTCCGATGCTGCACCTAACAGGAAATGGATCAACATGAAGAATACTAGTTTCGCTCATCCTATTTTCTTCAACACATCCTCTAGGTTTCCTAAGGCCGCGGGCAGACTACACGCGATTTGATCGTCGCGACTGAATCGCGACGAGACAACTGTTACAACATCATTCCATGCCGATCAACTTCCATTTCGGTTGTGATACTTTTCCAGCCCGAAATTTTTGGATGTGAAATGAGAATGAATGGAAATCTCAGCGACTGAATCGCGACGATCAAATCGCGTGAAGTCTGTCCGGGGCCTAAAGCGTTCTGAGCGAAAAGCATCGAGAGCATACTGTACGATTGTGTACTTTTGAATATTAGGCTGTCTGATAAGCCTTTTCATTTTTGAACCTTCAAACTGATATTGTTATCAAGAACATGAACACTTACAAGGCTGCAAACTTGTGGCTGTATTTGTGAGTAAATAAGCTTTGTATTCACATATTTGCGAGGAACACAGAACGCAACAGATAAAGTTGGAGGATTTAGCGCACTGTTTTTTCTTGATTTCTAGTCCTTAGAGAAATGCAGCAAGTGTATGCGTGCAAATAGAGTATATGCGTGAGCGTGTAAGAAGTTCCCAGATTGTGAAAAAATTTTCGTGCACAATTATTCAAGATTTCGCTCAGAAGAATATTGATTGCGTCGGTATTTGACACATTCGTTTTTCAGCGTTGCCATACTTCAGTAAGCTGTACCTATAAGCCAGCTGTGCTGACATAATTTTTTGCTCAAATGGGTTCTGTTCGCTTCCTTTTTCTGCGATGGCGTCTCAAGAGCATGAAATACCGCGCTGGTACCCCCAAACAGGAATGGGTGGAAGTTGGCGCTATACAGAAAATCTGTGGTTCAATTTTTGATGGGGAAGAATATAGCTATTTAGTTATGCACAAAACTGATGCTTTTTACAGTACCCTATAAATTACGGTGCGCCAAAGAGAGGAGGGGGGGAGGGAAGGGGGGGGGGGGGGAAGAAGAGTCTTTCCAAGATGTCTTCTAACATTGAGTTTTAAGAAGATGGTGTTGACCGATTTACTTGAGAATTATGGAGACTACACTGGTGTTGTCGCCAACAGGGTGGTATAATGTGGCAACTGACACCCAAATTTCAGTTTTCAATTGAGTCCTTCTTTAACGTTTGACAGTTTGAGCAAACAAAAAGGCAGCGTTTTGATTAGGTTTTTTGCTGGATAGGCTGTTGATTGAGCAAGTAGATAGTTAGCATATGAGGGGAAAAATTCAATTCACATACAAACTTTAACTACACTGTATCAATAACGTATTTTTATATTTGAAATTTACTTTGTAGCACAAACCATATCTATTTAGGATGTGCTCCTATCTGAATACTTTTATTAGGTTGTCCCAAAAGTAATTTTTTTCATATAATTCGAGGTGTTTTTGTTTTCCCAGCAGACTTAGGGTATCATTCGATAAAGCAGATTAAGCTCAAAAAATATCCACTGAGGATCCGCCTAAGCCGCATTCCATGGAAACTTTGACAAAATCGGTAAACATTTTGTCGCCTAAAAATTGGATTTCTGCGAGAAAGAATCCTACAGAACTCCAAGTTGTTCATTATACAGTAGACACATACTAGTACTCAAATACGCCTTTGCCGAATTTTTTCCGAGAATAGAAAGTGAGGAACAAAAATTGTTTAAAAATGTCAAACTCCGCCTCCAGCCCCTCCCACATATGTCATTCTATACTACAAGCCTTACTAACAGTAAGTATAATTCCAGTACCTTACCCCTGTATGTGCTTTTATAATCGAGAAATACCAAGTTTTACATGAAAAACGCGAAAAAGTGGCATTTTGGCATTTTTAGACCATCTTTTTTTTGAGCCCCGGAAAGAATCCGCCAAATTTATTTTCGGGTACTACTATGTGTCTACTATTTGAAGACCAAGTTGAAAGACCGTACGAAGTTTTTGGAAGGGGGTCCGATTTTTAGAGTAGCTATAAAATTTTGATTTTTGGCCCCAAATTTTACCTAGATTACAGCTTACTGTTAGGTGGATCTTTGGTGGCTTTTTTGTAGAGCTTGCTCCGCTTTATTGAATGGTACCTTAACTCTATCAGGAGAACAAGAACAGCTCAACTTAATTTAAAATGGAGTTTACTTTTGGGACAACCTTATACTACGTAGTGCAGGTTATAAATGTTAGGTGAATATCCATTACATTGCACATGCTTCACCTAGTCTATACCGCATTAAGTGTGCCGTCATTTCTGCGATATAGAAAGGGCAAGGTGCACGAACGGAGATGTTACTACCTCTTTATTTTTATTTTTCAGCCCCTTCCTGAATGATAACTTCTGAGAAGAGTTTATACGAAATCTATGAGATGAAAAAATCGGAAAAATCATTTTTTTCACCCTTCAAATCAATCTTTCTCGTCTATTGCCGTTCCAACCGTTCCCATTCCAAAGTCCTCCTCCCATGTTGTTTCCTTGTCCCTGCCATCGTTGTCCTCCTTGCTGCTGTGGCCGCGGTTGCTGCTGTTGCTGTTGCATTTGTTGTTGCATTTGTCGTTGCATTTGTTGTTGCAGTTGTTGTTGCAATTGCTGTGCCATTTGTTGCCCGCGATCGTTTTGCTGTTGAGGACTTCTATTTTGAAAGGGGTTACGAAAGTCGCGCTTGTGAATTATGTGAAGGGGATCTTTAATAATGCGGCGTAGGTCCTGAAAAATCAAGTACAATCATGGAAATCTATCCAAAATTCTACTGACAGCGATCTGCGCCATGCTTCCAGCAATAAGCGTAGCAGCTAAAAACCAAATCACGATTTTCTACAAGAAATATAGTCAAATATTACTAAATATCACATTTTGATTCGCTAACTCACCATTGCAAAAAAAAAAATCTCAGGAAATTGACATATTCTAAGTTTTTGCGGTCTCTTTATAAATGGGTACTATACCAAATGTTCACGATTTGCATATGATCAAAGAAAAATTTCCACCTTCTCAACATATTAAGTTTCTCTCTTCCGCTGAGAAAAATACTAATCTCTGTTAGAATTTTCGTCCTCGATTTGTTGCTTATACATACTGCATATTCATG